TACAATGGGGCTTCTGCTCCTGAACCTCTGCGCACAGCGTCTGCAGATCAGGGCTTTCATCTTTACGCAGGACTGTAAGCTGTCATCTGTGAGGCGTGAGCAGTGTTTGTTTTTAACATAGTTCACGGAGGAGAATAGCTGCTGACATAATGTGGATCCGAAGATCCATAACTGGCCTACCTGGGGTTGAAAGTCTCGATAAATGCATGTTGTTTCGGCGGGTATGACGCTTATTTTGAGCGATGAAAAAATAATAGAATAGAATTGTATTTTTATATTTCTAGAATTACAAGTTAAAAAAGAACTAACATAAATAAAATACACTTCAGCTAAATACTTCTAATTTCTTTTCCCAAACCACGCGGAACCACACTATAAGGACTAAAGAGCCGCATGTTGCCGACCCCTGAACTAGGCATAAAAACCCTCAGGTCAGTCACAAGACAACTGGTAAATAAGTCCTGAAGAGCCTCAGTCTGGTTTTCTCTGACCTGTCCATAGTTCCAGTCAGTCTCAGCAATGTCATCATAGAAACCATGATAGATGATCCCCATCTCGGTCATCACACACTCCTCCCTCTCCATCTCATCATCCAGAAACACAGCATCCTCTGAGGGACGACAACATGTCAGGTGATTGAGTGGGACAAAAACCAAACTGTGATGTTACAGTTCAGACTTTAAAAGACACACACATAAAAATTAAAACAACACAACAGAGGATACCCAAACATCCTGATGAGATTTTTTTATTATTGTTATAATTGCAGGCTAAAAGTTTCACATATGGGACATTTCAATTTATAATGTGATGCACACCTTTAAGTCTCTACTTAAGAAGACACAGCATCGCAGCTTTACTTTAATTCTTTTTTTTTTTTTTTTTTTTTTTCGCCTGTCCCATTTGGTTCTTTAGCCATCAGAATTGTTGTCTGAAGACCAACAAGGATACCCAATGGATTTACTTTGCCAAATGGATCATCGTGGCATTGCCGTATTGGTCCATTTGGTCGATCTTTGTTTTTATTATTTATTATATTTTATTTACAGATGTTACAGACGGGACAGACATGAGTGAGAGATAGGAAAGGGAGAAAGAAAGAGGAAGGAAAGGAAAAACAGAAGGGGAGAGGGACAGAGAGAAAGGGGGGGAGAAAAAAAATAAAAATCTCCTGGATCACCTGTTGAGAGAAGAATAGAAAACAAGCAAAAAAAGACAAAAAAAAAAGAAACAAAGCAACATACTAAACACAACACCATCGCATTAATCTAGCTAAGTGTAAACAGCAGTAAATACTAAATATTCAATGTTGTTGTGCAGCACGCAGGACAGATGTGCTTCGAAGTAGCAGCCAAGAAAGGTGTAATTTGGGTCTACGAGCAGTGAACACCCGTGTGCATACCTGTGTGGATCAGCGTGCTTGTATTCCAAAGGTTTCTCCATGTAACGATCTGCTAGGGAGTGTGGGGGGGGCACAGCCCCGTCCTCCAGGGTGTGAAGCAGGTATGGAGGAGATCAAAACTCCAGACATCCAGAGGCCCCCAGAACACAAGAAACCATGGAAGACCAACAGAGGGGCAGCCGCGCCACTGTCCCAGTAAGAGCTGAGGAGAGTCCCAGATGAGGGCTCACTCAGCAGCCGCGGAGCAGAAGCCAGGGGGAGTTGCAGTGACGCGCCCGTGAGCTCCGCCGGCCGCCAGCTGTGCCTGAGTGACCGAGCCCCAGGCCGAGAGGCCAGGGGCACCCCATCCCCGAAGGGGCCCGAGCAAGCCCCAGGCTCCAGGCCCCGATAAGCGGCCGCCAAGGAGTGAGCCGGTGTGTACCTGGACGCCCATCCCCAGACACAAAGAACCACCAACACACCGACACCTGAGGGAGTCCGCCACCGGCAGGGGAAGTGGTGGTAAGTGGAGATAGGCCTCCAAACCTTGGAGGGCCTGAGGTGTCCCCAGAGAGGTGGCGTCTGATACCCAACCTGACATATAGACACAGACATACAGGCACACACAGATACAAACATCCATTCCCACCCTCATGCTCTCATATGCACTCACTCCACACTCAACCAACGTGGAGACAGACATAAAGAGACGCTGTACACACAATCACACTCCCCAAGCGTACTCTACAAACCAGGTCTAGGTACCCTTGCCCCTGGAGGGGGGAACTGCACCCAGACCCAGGTGGTGTTACCCTTTTCCCTGCGGTGGGGAGAGGCAGACCACCCCGACTCCGTAGCAGCAGGGAGGCCCCACACTCCAGACCGCAGTCGGACGGCCAACTCCTCCTACTAGCCCTCCCGCTCCAGCAGGCCGCAGAGAATGGGGGTGGGAGAAGACTCCAAACCTCCCTCAACCCGCTCATTGTAGTGTTGATGCATGTGTGTTCTAAGGTGCAGCTTTACTTTAATTCACCATAAAGTAGCCTTGAAGGTGCTTATTGTAAAGCCCTTGGTCTAAAAATATCTAAAAATCTTCCAAACTTAACTGAGATTATTAACAGATTGCAATAATGAGGTAGAACCAGAAACACGTTGAATTTTTTATGTAATACCACTTTGTACCCCTAGATGGTGCAGCGAATCAGTGAAAGCTTCATTTAAGAACACATTCTTACATTTTTATTTCTCACAGTGGCCTGGAAGAAATTTAAAGCCTGACAAGGAGACAAACAGATCAGGCTGGTTAAAAGGAAATATTAATATTTAAAGAGAAACACAGATTTGAAAATTTTGACACACAAATGCCGAAAATTCCAGGTAACAAAATCCAAAGAAGTGGATCTGATCTGGATCTGAATCAATTTTCTGAGATTGTAACAAATCCACATAGTAAAAGTCTGTCCCCTGCAGTAAAATTTGTATTTAAATACTTTAAAGGGTAATTACATAAAGTACCTTTATGCCCTGAGCTTTCTACTTTAAATACAAGAAGAAAGTGCTGGGAGAGAAAACTGAAAATTTATATTCATTTCCCAGCGAGCTGCTACTCTGTAGAGATCTTTGTACATCTACAGCACCTCCGTGGGTTGAGAATACAAAGTCTACACGGCTACAGGAGTTTCTTTCTTTAGTTCAAACTTGTAACATACACCTGTTAGTTGGGGTTGGATCACGTCCACAGCATAAACAAACCGCTGTGGGGTTTTGGAACTGTACCGAGACCATCTGCCAGAGCCTGGCCATGCCAATCAAAGTAAGACCAAATAGGCATTGTTTTGGTCCACACCAAGTACAATTACTGTTCACACCTGGACAATCGAACCATACCAAGGAGGAAAACTAACCCATGTTTGATTTAAATAGATTAAACGGCACAGGTGTGAAAACACCCCAAGTCACAATTGGAGCAATGCAACCATGCAAGCAGATGAAGGTAGAAGTTTAACATTATGATTGAGCAGTGATTTCACAGTACTACTTCTGGTGCAAAAGGGTACTTGAGTATGTTGTATCCTGTGTAAATCTGGCTTTGGGGGTGGTTATAAAATGATTAATATTTGTATCGGTTCTGTTCAGGTTTATTGTATGGCTTCACTGTTGTATTTTAAGAGATATTGTAGTTTGTTTTTCTTCTCAAATTACTGTCACACTGTTAAAATATTTTCTATAAACTGATGTATTTTTCTTAGCTGCGGGGAGGCAGATGGCTGCCCCTCCCTGAGCCTGGTTCTGCTAAAAGGTTTCATCCTGTTAAAGGGAGTTTTTCCTTCCCACTCTCAGTCAACGCTGTCACTGTTTGCTGATCTAACCTACTATCAACTGAGCAGCCATAAAAATAATCACTCTGAAGGAAAAACTGCTGAAGCACCTTTGAATGGGAAGGACATATTTAAAGAAGCACAGATCACTGTTGATGTTGAGACAGTGCAACATATATACGTGGTCACTTCTGGTCTTTCTGACAATTTACACCAAAAATATGAGCATTTCAACAATGCTATTCAAACCATATTTTGAAAAACCATGTCATTATTTGTTAATGCATAATAAACAAAGCTTGCTTCAATTGGACTCTAAAGATTGGGTTCTTAAATATTTGCAATTTCCTCAGAAGTGAATAATATGTGATTTTGAGTTTGTTTAGTAGCATTATCAAAAACAAAGTGTTTTTAAAATGTCTTACATCAACAATGATTTTTTTCCCTCTGAATTTTTAGATATACTTTTTTAGCTCTTAAAATAAATTCTTTGAGAAAGAAAAATAAAGGATATAGGTACAAAAACTGTGACTGATTTCCAGATTTTAGGATTCATTCCTCTGACACTCACTGAGTCAGGGCCGTGTGTGTCTGAACATCCAAATTAAATTTGTTGTCTTTCTTAGCTAGATCATTCATTGCCTAACATCAGTTTAAACTGTTTCATTAATGAATGAATGAATGAATGAATTAATGAACACACAGTGTAACACCTACATAAATGTATTTTATCAGTACATCAATAATTGTGCTTTACTTCTTAAAACTGCTTCATAGTTTCTATAAACATTTTAAATAACATCTTTTCATTCATTGTATTAACGAATTAACATTTTAGAAATGACTCCATTGCTATTACATATGTTTTCTTTCACTCTGGAGGCCACATCATGAATTAAACCTAAATGTTAAATGAAGCAAAACATGAATAAAAACAACTTGAATATCAAATGTCCCTGGATTACTATTACATCTCACTGCACCGACACAGTTTTGGGTCTATAATGACACCTAGTGGGTCGGTGTGGTAATACTGCAGGAAGGTTTTACACGGAGGGATTCGTGTATGTTCAGGGTGTGCCCGGCCTCTACAGACCTATGGTAGCTGGGATACGCTCCAGCTCCACTGCGTCCAGATAGGGATAAGCGCAAGAGGACGAATGGATGGATGGATGGATGGGTTTATGTGAAATATATTTGTTGTTGTTTCAGTTGTTGTTTTACTAAAATATTTCTATCTGATCAGATGAAGCATAAAACCCTTATTTGCTGTCAGGATAATTACTGGTAAAATGTCTTTCTCAAAACCATATTAAGACATAAATATAATTTAGAGTTATACTCTGACAGCTGAAACACCTTTAAAGTACCTGCAGAGCAGGTGAGACGAGAAAAGCCCCTGAGAATTAAGTGCGGACTTTTTCCATTGCTGGGTGTGGGAGTGTAAACACGAAGAGGCGATACCTTAAAACTGAAACTGAAACAAAAACAGGCACTCACAGAGCGGCACAAACAAGTGTTTGACGGGCTGAAAGTTCTCATGTTAGTGTAGAATTGCAGATAAAATGGATCAATATCCGTATCCACTGTTTTTTAAAGCCACTGACTTTACAGACAGAGAGAAGGAGAAAGTGAGGAGATACTTTCAGAAAAGGCGAGACTCCGGGGGTGGCGACTGTGGAAATCTTGAAAAACTCGGAGGAAGCGTTTATAAAATCTGTTTCAAGGAAAAAGAAGGTAGGACAGTCGGTCATTTGTAAAATATTTTTTTATCTTTGTGTTTAAATTCAGGCTATTTCAGTGACTCTGTTTATGGATGTTTTCCAGATCAAGACAGAGTTTTGCAGAGGAAGTTTCACACCATCACTCTTCCGAGTGGAGAAGTGCGGCTGACCGTGAGCCGGACAAGTTCACCACAGACCTCTGACCAGCCATCGACAAGCCAATCACTGGTACAGTTTACTGCACTTTCAAACATGACTTTTGGTTACAGTAAAAACTGAGTGTCAGAATAATGTGGCCAAATTAGTTTAAGAGGAATGAGTTAGCCTCCAGGGGAAGTTGGACAGCTGAGGACAATATTGACAAAAACAATTTCTTTGTTATAGTTTTCATTTCATTGTGACTCAGTGTTTTCAGTGACTGACAGTTCTCAGGCTTTTTTCACTTCTGAGTGTCGCTGTTAATACAGAGTGTAAAATACATGTTCAGCATTGTTTAAATAAGAACACATTACCTGAAAAATACATCATGGCACACTGTGCAGATACAGATATAATATTTAGTATTAAAGCCTTTGTAGACAAGCAAGTAACCAATGCCATGTATGATACTCCACTTCCATATCATCAAAGATACTGTTTTTTAAAAACAAAACAAAACACATAGGTCATAAAAGGCCAGATGGTAACACTCTCACTGGACACTTTATTAGGTACACCTTGAGAGTAACAGTGCTGCTTTAAATCTTTGCTGTTAAAATTTTATTATAATGTTGTGGTGTTATTTGAGTTACTGTTTCCTTCCTATCAAGTCAAAGCAGTCTGGCCATCCTCTGACCTCTGACATCAAGAAGACGTTTTCATGCAGAGAATTGGATATTTTCTCTTTTTCATTCCATTCTCTGTAATCCCTGGAGATGGTTGTGTAGGAAAATCCCAGTAGATATATATATCTGAAATACAACAAAATATTAAATTCTTTGTGGAATCCATTGACACTGCATCCCGTTGGCACACAAATGAAATAATATTGTGTTCTAAATTAGCACCAGTCATTGCATTCTACTTTCAGTTACATTGTGCACAATATCCTGTCCGTTTTAGAAACAGGGTTGTAGTATATTTCTGTTCTAACACAGTGTCAGAGTCAGATATAACAATCAAAAACAAAAACATATAAACAGATATTAATTTAATGTGTTTTTATCAACATAGGACTGTATGAATCTGTCCCGAATTCGACAAGTGGCACAAAAACAAACCAATGGAGGCCCCAGTAGAGTGCAATCAGATGAAGAGTTTATTAAGAACACACATGCGGGAAGAAGTACACAGCATCACATCAGCATATGTCTTCTGCCCAAAAATACACAGAGAATGGTTTATATATCATCAGGGTTTGACACCCCCTCTTGCATTGTATAACATATTTTTGTATTTCTAAGAACATCATTTGTATCTTGTACAGACAATGAGATGATTTTTAGAGCTACGGTCAGACACAGAAGTTCTTTTCCGAAATATGGCGATGATTTCAGGCCCTGGAGGTCCCCGTGGACTTGTCCTCCTGTTGACCCATCTTCTGTCACCTGTTACTAAGTAAACTCAAATGCCACAGGTTGTAACAAGAAGCTGAATACATTCAGGCCTTCACTCAAGCCTGTTTCTAGATTATATGTACTATATGTGTTTTGTAAGTATGTATGCAGTTTTAACCTTCTGCTGCTCTTAAGTCACCTACACAATAGATTGCCTGGACATTTGTGCCAAACAAAGCTTGAGACTTTTAATTGACTGAGCTTTAACTCTTTACTGAGCACAAAATGCAATGTATAAAATGGTCTTAGCTGTACCTGTAATAAAAAGGTTAATGTAAAGTCAGCAGGTTTTAATAAACATCTTAATGCAGTATCAATACTATAGATTATATCATTAATGATGCAGAATATATTGTAGCCACAAAATAATTTCTTTAATTCCACAGTGGCAAATGCTGTGGCAACTGCTCAACAACTTTTTTTTAGAACTGGTTTATTTAACCCTTTAAGACCTACCATAGAACCAAGTCAGCCAGAGCTTATATTATATTTTTACATGCTGTAGTGCCATTTCTGGGAGCATTTCAAGTTTCTATACATCAATACAACCCAAATTTTAATAATATGTATGCATTAAGTGCATAGTAATTACATAATTTGCAAAAAAGTGCAATAAACTACACATTTTTGTTTTGTTTTTTTAACATATATTTCTAGTTAGAAAAATATAAGAGGCTTATCCCTCAAAACTGTAAATACAAAAAAGTTGCACAAAATAGTTTCCCACCACAGGAAATTTATTTTAAGTGTCTTCATAGTTTTATTTTTGAAATACACCAAATTTTATATACTGCAGGAAAAACGAAAATAAATAAACTTGCTGCAAGTGCTTTTTATGCAGTTTTTGCAAAGCTATATGTGGAAGGAAACTGTGACCTAGGACAAGCTGATGGCATAAGATGTAAGTACAACTCCTCCGGCTTCATATACAAAAAAATTATTGCGCTAGCTTACTTGGTTGCAGCGCTACGGGGATTTAAAAATAGCTATGCAAAACAGAGTGTGCCCGCTCCGACCAGCTTTAAAGGGTTAAGAAACAAATACTAAGACATGTCTTTTTTCTCTTAAGAGTTGCTGATTAAAATGGTGTTTGAGTGTTGGACGTTGTGGAGCTAGGGCTGGACGGTTGGACGTTAAATCAAAATTGTGATTAATTAAACATTTTCCTCAGGTTCGAATAATGAATGATTATGATTGTAAAGTAAGCACACAAAAACTAGGTTTGTGCTGTAAATATACTGAACCACTAAAACTGAGATAGTTTTGGTATTTTCCCATAGTTGTCTTCTTTTTGTTTGATGTTGTCTTTACTATAGCCACATATATGTCCAAGCAATGGAAATGGTAATTATATTTGGCAGTGTTTTATGTTTCCTCCATGAAGGGGGTCATTAATGCCACAGACTGGACATATACTGGACATAGCAGAGATAGTACATAATGGATGAAGAATATGATTCATTTTTGACTTACTGCCCAACCCTATGTGGTAAATTGTTTACAATAAGTAGCCCATCTTTAAGCATCAACTGACAAATTTGTTTGATTTCTTTCCTTCTTTCAGATCTCTAGAAACCCAAACATAAAAGGTCTTGAGAAGACTTTCAGGATAGATGTTTTCCTGATGTTTTTCCTGAGAGACAACTGTAAAGCATACAATTTTTTGGAAAAACAACTGTCTTCAATCGGCTGCACAGTGGAGCTAAATTTTGATGAAGAGGAGGTTTTGGTTAGAGGGGAGGTTGACAAGGGTCCAGGAGGAGGATTTGGTGGCGCTGCAGAGAAATGGGAGTATCAGGTGGATCAGGTCTTTGTCCAGCTCACCGAGACCTACCTCTGCTATCATGTGCTTGAACCAAAACAGATGAAAATGGTACTGCAGGATTCGGCCTTTAAGACAGATGATATCAAAGTTTACACAGAGAGTGGCTATGCTGTGGTTGTGGGAGAGGTTGATGCCATGAATGAGAAGATTGCAATTCTGGAAAAAAGCCTACCCACCAAAAAGGAAGTGCCAATTGTGGAGAAGAAGTTCAAGCTCATAGAAGAAGAGTACAATCGAGAAATGCGTGCTAATTGTCCAGAGGTTGCAATCATCAGAGGTAGTGCCATGATCACTTTGGAGGGCCCTGACAAAGAGGTGCAGTCAGGAGCTGCAAAACTGGTTGAACTGATTAAGAACGTAAAGGAGAAGAGCGTTAAGTTCCCTACAGCTCTGCTAACCTTCATGAAGACCAGTGATGCCATCCCAAAATACCAAACTCGCTTCCAGCAGAGCCTCAGAAACCCTGTTTTCTTTGAGGTGGGTGCAGATCTGGTTCTGTCCAGTTTGTCCTCTGATGCTCTGAATGAGGCCGAGGCAGCAGTAATGAGAGACTTTAAAGTGACCACTGTACAGCTGCAGGGTGCAATAGATCTCAACAGGTTGAAAGAAATTCTGATGAAAGCCAAGTACGAGGCAAACAGTAGAGAGTTCAGAGTGGACATCAGCTACATGCCAGGCGCCAGGGGAACCTCAACAACCAAAGTCCAACTGGTGGGCTACAGTGAAAATGTGGCCAAGCTCAATGAAGTTCTTCATGACTTCCAGTTGAATCAAGTTTCAACTCAAGAAAACATCAATCTGCTTCATCATGACACTGTCTACTGTTTTAATAAAATCTTAGACTTGATTGGCATGAAGCAGACCAAGGTGACCTTACAAGCCTCACATTTTCCAAATCCTTGTGTGTTGGTGTCTGGTCCTCGATGTCATGTTCAGGAGGTCAAGGAGGCCCTAACATCAACTCTAGACAGTGTTGTAGTAGACACTTTGACTCTAGATGGACCAGGGGCTCAGCAGTACTTCCAGGAAGAGGGTAAAGTGACTAAAGAGCTGATAGAGGGTTCCTGTCACGTCATTATCCGAGATAAGCAAACTGCAGCCATCCCAAATGTGCAAAGACCACGAAACACCAGCAGACTCAGCGACACACCTAGATCTCTCAGCTACAGCAGCAGCATGTACAGCACAGTTGGAAACTCTGCAATCAACAGAACAAACCTGAAGATCAAACTCAGCAGTTTAGAAAATGAACAGGTTTGATTATTTCCATTCAATTCTAGTTCCCATAATCCCAAAATAAAATATCAACATTCATGTTATTCAATATTATTTCTGCAGGCGGATGTTCTGGTGGTCCCCATGCTCAACAAACAGCTAACTTCGACAAATATTGGCAACAGTTTGTTGGCCAAAGCTGGGAATGTATTAAAGTTAAAGTTTGATTCAGTCTTAGCCAGTTGTGCCCTCGCCCCTGGTGATGTTCAGCTGGTTGATGCACCTCCATCTCTGGGCTGCTCCAAGATTTTCTTCATTGAGTGCTTGCCTTGGGACGGAGTAAGAGGAAAGAGCGTTCAGGTAAAATTGAGGACTTTCATTAACACTTCTGGTGATGGAAAACACAAAAGAAAAGATAATTAAAGATAATAAAATACTAAATTAATGCCAAAATATTAATGCACAAACCAGATAACTGCAAAGGAAGATTTATGCAACCAAACTGAACTTTTTTGTGGATCCCACAGTTTTCCGTGCTCTGTTGCAGTGTGCAATACAAGAGTTAAGTTTGAAAGCATTGTTTAAAAATATGTAAATTTTGATTTGCAGGCTCTTGGTAATGGTCTAAAAAAGTGTCTGAAGCTTTGTGTACGGCAGAATTTTGGTTCAGTGGCCATTCCAATCATTGGGGCAGGTGTTATTTTAAAATACCCGCTGAGAGAAGCCATTCAAGTGTTGACTGACGTCATTCACCAGTTTGGATTATCTGCATCCTCTGGATCTCTTACAAACATCCACATTGTCATTAAACCTGGTTACCCTGATTCTGAGGAGGTCAGTGTCAGTTGATATGTCCTGATCTGATCTGTAACATGCAGGAATCAATTATCTATCATGTTATTCTGTGTTTTTATCTACAGTGCTACCACGATGTCTACAAACAGCTCAGCTTAAATATGAACCAGGGAGGCCAAGGTAAACTAGCACTACTCATACTGTCTTCATTATGTGACATTAATGCATAGTGAGCAGATAAAAACATTCATTAAGCCAGTCCCATATTTTACCATCTTCATTAGTACCCTCAGTCATCAGATTAAATATATCAAACAATAGCTAATGTGTGGTCTTCTTCCTCTCAGCAATCTTCAGGTCCCTCACCAGCGACCTAGATGACATCATCATGACAGTGGGAAGCGCGGTTAAACTACACGTGGTGTTTGGTGACATCACTAATGAGACTACAGATGCTGTGGTGAACACAACCAACTTCAAAAGTTTTGACCTTGGTAGGTGAAACTGGGAAAGACAAGAAGATGTAGTGAGCAGGACAACCCAGTTGCATCTGTAAAATTATTTTTATCCACAATGGTAGCATAGCTCTTTACGGATGGCAAAGGCAGACAGCTGTTCATTAATATCTGCACAGAAATGGGGATAGCCATATGAATATAATCTTTGAAGATCAAAGTTTTCATCTAGCATTATCAGTAGGTCACGTATATTAGCTAAAAACCATATAATTATATATACTCAGCAAAAATACAATAGATAGTCATGGTCCAGCAGCATAAGTAATTATGCCACTACTTTCTAATGCACATGGGCCAGCAAAACTAGATAACTTTTTGTATTTGGGATCTAGTACTGATCATGGTTATAGTTTCACATATTATATAATTCCCTCGAAGCACAGACCAACGCAATTGGTTTTCTGTCACTGGTTTATTTGAAGACTGCTCTCCAAAGCCACCGTGAAAACTACACAGCATTAACAACATAAAGACTCAACGTAAGACACAGCGCCTAAAATAACACTGTACAACAAAACAAAATAGACCAATAATACCTCGTTGGCTGCAAAAAATGAATTAGTCACCATTCTTCAGAGGTTTCCTTTTAAGCGTGTAGTTAAAGTTCATTGTACTTAATGTGACTTTCAATAAAGAACATTACAGGCTCATTCTTGCTCCACACTTACAGGTGTTTCCCCAACTTCCAGAAAGGAAAAAGCGAGACTTGTAAACAAGCTTGACTTTCAAAATAAAAGCACCATAACTTTAACTACATAAAATAACATAACATAAATAATCTACATCTTAAACAATTTACAACAATGACACAGACCTTGACAAGATAAAGAAATGATCCAAATTATATAAAAAATGTCATCATCCCAGCAGGTACATATTATATGTGTGAAACTATATATGTGAAATCATAGTGCTTTTTTTTTCTCAAAGATTTGTTTTTTATTTATTGCTTTTCCAACAACATTTTAACCAACAGGAAGAGAGAGTTTACATAAAATAGAGGAGGAAATTAATAAAAAAAATTTGAGTGTATAATAGTAATGTATGTACATCGTGTATGAACAGTGTTGGGGAAACACATAGATATAGTTATACATACTCTCCCATGTAGATCATTCAGATATTATTACAGAAAATATATATATATATAGATAAGTAAAACAAAGCAAAACAAAACAACCCCCCCCAAAAAAAAACCAAAAAAAACAAAAAACAAAAACAAAACAAACCCCCCCCCCCCAAAAAAAAAAAAAAATCAAGGGTTAACAGACAGTGCTCCAGAAAAAAACAGGTATAACACAGTGAGACATTAGGTTTAAGTGCATTATTCCAGGGCTTCGGTCTTAAGTTTAGTCCAAGGGTGTCAAGTTAGTTAGAGAGGCATCCGACCTAACGGTTGCAATGATAAGCTGTGTCCTCTTCAGTTCCAGTCCATTTAATTTCACATCTCTTCTCCTGTCCTTCTATTGAACAGGCCCAGCACTCGCAGGCCCCCCAGGTTCTCTTTAACAGCTGCAACACTACTTCTCCCATACAGGTTAAATGGATATAGTCATTTCTGTTCACTATCGATCATCTCCTCACAAAAATAACAAAAACTTTCCCCACATTTTTTTAAAGGAAGCATGTTTACCCTTTATCATAGACGTAAGTTTCTCCAAAGCAAGGGATTTTGACAGTGTCGACAACCAAGTTCTCAAGTGTGGTCTACTAATGGATCTCCATGATTTGGCTATGCTATATTTCGCCTGTAACAGGCAGAAGATTGTGGTTAAAAAAAACCACAATCCCCGAATTTCAGCGGGGAAAATTCCTAGGATGCATATGGTAAATGGCCTGTATTTATATACACATTCAGTCATCCACACACTGGTGATGGCAAGCTACATTGTAGCCACAGCCACCCTGGGGCGCACTGACAGAGGCGAGGCTGCCGGACACTGGCGCCACCGGGCCCTCTGACCACCACCAGTAGGCAACGGGTGAAGTGTCTTGCCCAAGGACACAACGACCGAGACTGTCCAAGCCGGGGCTCGAACCGGCAACCTTCCGATTACAAGGCGAACTCCCAACTCTTGAGCCACGATCGCCCATAGTTTAGGAGATAGGTCCAGCTTGACACTTGTAATATGAGCAATTACATCTAAGACTTCTTTCCAAAACCTTTGGGTTTCAGAAGATTCCCACAGGCAATGCATTAGTGTGCCTTTTTTCCCACATTTAACACATTTGTCCAGAGTTTTGGGGTCAAATTTGTTTAATAATGTTGGGGTGATATATGTTCTCATTAGCCATTTATACTGGATTAGTTTAAATTGGGTGTTTATAGATTGTGTTTGGGCTTTCAAGCAGGCTTTTTGCCATTCCTCTGTAGTTATTCTATACTCTAAGTCTTGACACCATGCGAGTCTTTCTTTTTCTGAGGATGTTTGAGAGCCATCTCTGAGGTTGCTGTAAAAACGGGATATTAAACCTTTATTCAGCTGATGGTTTATTGCTATGTCCTCTAATGAGTTTAGAGTGGGCAATGTTAGGGATTTTTGAGTTTTTGATATGAAGCTTCTGATTTGAAGAAATGTTTGGTTGGAATGCCAAATTTCTGTGTCAAGCCATTAAAACATAGTAGGGTGTCCTTGTCATATAGGTCTCCAACTTTGGCCACAGGCCTCTGACGGCCCACATTTTAAAGCCCATAGTGCATATTAGGCATATTCAGCAGGAACAGGCTTAGTGGATGACAAAATGCAAAACTCTGAGGCACAGGTGCTGGAAAGCAATCAGGACTGAGATTATCAAACAGTAAAAAAAACAAGTGACTCAGTGACAGTCCGGCAGGGAACAAAGGTGAACAGGTATGCTGCCTGTAGTGTGTACTCGGCGTGAGTATCGTTTGATTTCTAGCCAAGCATGTTTGGCAAGGATTAACCTTTTACATACCTTAGAATACCAATTCTCATAAATGTATGTGGATTGATTTGGGGAAATTGGGTTGATGAGTAACTGTAAGCAGGAAGCAAGACTAAGAAATTAAATGGGTAGAATGTCTGATACTACACTGCAAGTATTCAACTGTGCCACAAAAGGGAACATAAAATAATACTGTGGCATCAAGTGTCTTATTGTTGTTGCTGTCTACTGTTGATCCAAAGTTGTGCTTACTAATTAAATACAATTATTAAATATATAAATATATCAGTATTTAACCAATAGGCACTACATATTCATTTTAATAAGATTATCTTAGACTTTTTGGAGTCCTAACTTTTCCTTTCCTGCTACTAAAAGGTTGGCTTTTGTGATTTTTATTATATGCTAACAAATCGAAATCTATTTGTTAACCAACTGTGCAACTTGCCCTAAACTTTACAGTAGCAAAAGTCGGCATGTTACTAAAAAAATGGATGGCAATAGTTATGTAAAGGTCAATAACCACCATCATCACCAGTCAGTCCTGGTGCTGATTAGCTGTGTTAGCATGCTAAAATTAGAACAAGATTAGCATATAGCACAGCTTCACAAACTTGCCTTTATTGACAGATTGCCATCACCAGTGTGTGAATGGGTGGATGACTGAATGTAGTGTAAAGCGCTTTGAGGTCCATAGGGACTAAGTAAAGCGCTATACAAATACAGGCCATTTACCATTTTTTACCATTTACCAAAATAGATGGCAATAGTTATGTAAAGGTTGGTAACCTCCATCATCAGAATCATCAGTCCTGGTGCTGATTAGCTGTGTTAGCATGCTAAAATTAGAACAAGATTAGCATATAGCACAGCTTCACAAACTTGCCTTTATTGACAGATTGTAAGACCTTTAATATATATTTTCTTATTTTTCGTCATCTACAGATGGAGTATGCAAAGACATCTTAACTGTAGCTGGACCAGAGGTGGAAGCTAAACTGAAAGCAGGTGAGAAAAAGAGAAGCTGCTGCTAATCTGCAGAAGGAACTGAAATTATCAGAATTGGTTACCTTGGGAGAGTTTAAGTCTGTTTTAAAGGAACAAGAGAACAGCTCTTTTACTCAGTGTGATTGTTTTTAAATGTACTCTTAATTTGATCTGTTATTGTATATTTTACAAATGTTTGTATGGGATATTGTATTTGTTTTAAATGTTATATACCTATGTGGTATGTGACTTTTGTTGCTATGATGCCAGGTCTCTCTTGGAAATGAGATTTTTAATCTCAATGAGATTTTTTACCTGGATAAATAAAGGATTAATAAAAAGCTGCTACTTACCTTCTCATCTTACTTATCTGACTCTCACCCATCCATCCTCTGTCACTTTCTGTGCAGCAAAAGTGAATCGAGGACAAATTTTCGAGACCCAGTCTGGAAACTTCCCATGTAAAACTATTTTACACGTGCATGGGAAACAGGATGAGGTCCTCATTGAACAACTTGTGTGTGGTATCATGCGTTATTGTGAAATTCATAAATACAACTCAGTGGCAATTCCTGCCATGTGTGCTGGTAAGTATCTTGTTCAGCATTTCTATTTATTCTGTTTGTTGTGAAACACACACATACACCTAAATGCAAGTGGTGTTTTAACAGGAGCTGGAGGGTTAAATCCTGCGATTGTAGCAGGAGCCATTCTTCGAGGGATCAAGTCATCTGCATCAATCATGACCAGCCTCACCAACATCCGTCTCGTCCTGATTAAGATCGATGTCTTCTTGACTTTTAAAGAGGAAGCGATGCAGATGTATTCCCCAGCTGTCATCAACAGAGGTGACAGAAATATTCACAAACTGACATTTTGTGTAGTTATTTAGTGTAATGAATTTTAAAATAAAAACTGATTCAAAATATTTTACTGAAAACTTTTCCTGATTTGTTCTAGTACTTCCAGTACTTCCAGTACTTCCAGTTCAAGTACAGCAACAACAGCCTCCTCATTCTGTGAGTGCATACCTCAGCAGTCTCCATATCAGCTCTACAAGTCAGCAGTCTGTCTTCACGTTCCTGGGTCTTTCCAAAAAAGACGTTGACGATGCCATGGAAAAGCTGAAGCATCAATATCACACACAGTGCTCCAGTAACACCTTCTCAAAGGAGGAACTGGAACTCCTCGACCAGGACGACATGATGGAGCTGAAGGAGCTGGTGGAGTCTGAGGGTTTATTCATGCAAACAGATCAGTCTGGCGCCCTAACAGTGAGCGGGCTAAAAGGCAGGGTCACCCGGGTGATGCAGAAAATGAATCAGTGTCAATTAATGGGTCTTGCTAATGAGGTGAGAGTCAGGGAGGAGGAGGAATTGTACCATCGAGTTGTTTGGTGCATCCTGGCACATAACGGAAACTGGGAAAGACTTCCCAGAACAGCCAATCACCAACTGGAAAACAACGAATTAACAGAAGGAATAACAGATGCACAGGGACTCGTATGGGAGGTTAATCTACAGATGATGGTGGCCACACAGCAACTGAACAGACAGGCGATGAAGCTAAAGCGACTTGAGAATCTGACAGGTGAGAAGATCTCAGTGTTGTGTAAAGAGCCTGACTGATACTAGAGTTTGATGCTTGAGAGCAATATAAAGTTAAAACAAACAATTGTTAAGATTTTGATTTAATGATTTATTAAAGAGATTTCCATGAAATGAAATCAAGATTTAATGAAAGGACAGTGTAGAAATAGAAATGAATAATGTATAGCAAACTACTGTACCTGTAAGAAAAACAAACATACAACAGCTGGTACACAGAAATTTGCAAATGCACAGGTACATAAATGCAGTGCTCTAGATTAACTTTTTGCCTCAGTTGCACTGGTGCGCCTAACTTTTTTTCTTAGGTCCACCAGCACAAAAGTTAAGCGCACCCAAATTTTTCAACCACATCATTTAACCCCACAGTTTTACATGTTCACTTTTTTTTTACTTGCTGTCCATACAGACAGTATTGATTTGTAAATAATCTTGTCAACACAAAGTTCTTTATTTGGTGCACATTTCTACAAGAAAGATAAGTTACTGAAAAAGTGCTTGTGCTTAAAGTGCTTTGGCATAATCTAAGGGTTTCACAATTTGGCATAATTTTAAAAAGTTAAAATTTCTTCACTATTAAACAGCAGAAATGAGGCTTTCTTGTCGGAAGTCATTTTATCCCTTCAAGCTACTCACCTCTATTCACCTGCACTTTCAAACGCATACACGCAAAGGACTACAGGAATATCTGGACCACGGCCAATCACAGAGGTCCCGCCCGGTTATCTCTGATTGATTTAGACCACAATATGGGCATAATGTGTGTCTGTTGTTGACCACACGGAGACTTTCGGAATTGCGGACACTTTTTATTTTTTTTGTACTGAACGGCTGGTCACACCGGTGCGACCTAGGATTTTTTTTAGTCACACCATGGAAAAACTAAGGTGCATATGCAACCAAACTGGTCACACTCTAGAGCCCTGAGAGTCCCAGAGTACTATTGGCAATAGGTAACCGACCCTGCTAGAGGCCAGCCACTGTGGTGCGAGCAAAAAAGCTCAAGTTCCTGAGCTCCAGGCGCCCAAGAATTGTCCAGTACCCGGCAGATGTATGTGGGGGTATGAAACAGGGGCGTGTGAAACGCAACCCACAACCCTCCGTCAAGACACTACGTGTATGAGTGATAAAAAACAGTTTGAAGTAAAGAAGGTTGCAAAAGTCATTATGAAAGTAAGCATAAACAGTTCATTTTTAAACAAGAAATATAAAAATCCCACATCAGCAGATAACTGAGGATCATATTGCCCTGTTATTTCATGTTTAAATGTCTAACTTAGAAGCAGTGTTATGTTATTGTCAGACAGGCCCTATTACATGTTTCATTTTGGTTTTATTCACAGACCATCCCATGAAAATATAGATTTTTTGATTTGTTGTTTGTTGATTGGTATTTACTGCAAGATTTGTAGTAAATAGCAAAAAATAAATCTCAGCATAGGCTCTTTCTGTGTCTTCTCGTTTGTATGCTATATATGCTTGTCTCTTTTAGACTTTACTTTCCCTCTGTACTGGGACAGCATGGCTGCCAGTGAAAGTATGAAGGTCATTCCCCTGGAGTCTTCTTCTCCAGAGTACCAGACAGTGAAGGAGGCCTTCAAACGAACTGTCACCAAAACTGTGATGAAGGTGTGTTGCTCTCCCTGCATCAGTTTCTACTTATATTACCTGTCTTATTATACGCATGCTGCTTCATCACTACTTTATTCTTCTTAAATGTTATTAATGAAATATTATGCAACTGTGAAGTGGAACACAGATATTTCTGTTTTAACTTGCTTTAATATTTATGTATATTATTCACAGTAATTCCCCATTATTTATTTATTATTGCTTCATGTTTATGACGTATCCTATCATAAATTCTTCCTCACAGTTTGTTGAGATATACATATTTACAGATATATGTACATATAAACAGATACTGACACAAATATACATGAACATACATGCGCACACCCGTACATGTATATACACACTGTCTGTGTAAATAGTGGGTGAGAACGACCGGTCAGAGCGGTCATGCTGGGACTTTGTTTCAGTTCCTCACTCAGCCTGTTCCAGTGCTTCACTTCCACATACAGAGATGCTAAAACTTCATTTATTAATAAATAAATTATATTTAAATAATTAATGTACATATAAAATGGAAGAGTAAAACATCATAATATAATTTCAAGTTACAAGAAATCAGTCAATGTCACATTTTATAAACAAACTAATTTCCCCATTTAAAAGATATGATTTATTTAATTCAATTGTATTTATTTATTCATTCATTTGGGATTTTAGGAGGATTTTAGTTTCAGTCCACCATATCGCTGAAGTCCACTGAATTGATGACGACATAATTTGCAGTATTAAAGTAATTAATTGATTGCTGTTGATAACACAGACGCTTCTCATACCTGAGATGCACGCCTCATTTTATGTCCCAGAGAATATATAAGCATAAAACGACCCCTCAGATGTAATTAATATCCTTGATTACCTTGTTTGGCAGCTTGTTGATCCTTTGTCCTTCTTCTCTGTCGTCAGATTGAGCGTTTGCAGAACGTTCACCTGCGTCGCGCCTATGAAGCACAGAAGAAGCTCATTTCTGATAAGAATGCACACGAGGGAGGAGCAGGGGAGAAACTTCTGTACCACGGGACGACCCAGGACAATTGCGACTCCATAATGAAAACTGGATTCAACAGGCGCTTTGCTGGGCAAAATGGTGATGGTCTTTTTATAATCCACAACTACAGAACATGCCAGCATTTATCTCTTAAGCTTTTGGAAAGTACCACATGCAATCTTTCAGCGCCAAAACCATGTTCTAACCAAAGTCAACACCGGAGTCTTCTTACAATTGCACAAATATTTGCAAAACACTAAATATCACTCCCTCCAGGTAATACACAACACCATGGTTCTTCATTCACAGATGGATTTATTCTTCCGTCACACTTCTCCTCCAAACCACCATAAAATCCACAGTCAAACTGTCATTACATAACCGTAAAGAATGACCAGGCATAAATATTACAAATAAACATTTAAATCAAAGTTAACAAATATGCGATAAACAAAACACAGTTACTGTACCTCGCTGGCTGCATGTAACCATGAGGGAATTAAACAATGCTTAACAAAAAAACACTCCCCAACTTCTTTCACCTCTTCTTTCAACACTTCGCTTCACTTTGAAACAGATTATTTAATCTTTTTTGTGACTTATTTAACTTACAACTTAGCTTCTTTGCACATGCTTTCTTAACTTCCCTTTGCGTCTCTTAAAGGAGCCTATGCGCAACACAGAAAGTAACCTACCCCAAAAGAAACAACAATAAATAAAGGAAATAGAAAACATACATAAACACAATAAATTAAACACATTGAAATAATTTACATTTATGGCAGTTAAAGTAAACAAGTAGAGTTACAATTAAATGTTGAAAGAAAAAACATTGTCTTTACATTAAAAGGTTTTAGTTATCAGAGCATAATAAAAGTAACCTTGTCATTAGCAGTCTTGAAATTAAGTAAATAAAAACCTCAGATGACAGGAAGATATATAAGGTATATTAAGTTTCATTATTCATTTAACAAAAATTAAGCCAAAAGGAGGAAGCAGTGTATGAAAGCCAAAGTGACCCCTTTATAAAGTATTTTTATAAAAACAGAAGTTTTGGCAATCGTTTTTATCGTTAATTTTTTATCTTTTTTATCATTAACTTGGTTTCCCTGGGTCTTTTCCCTTGTGTTATGAATAAATCTTCTTTTTTGGGGGGGTACCAGTACTGGTTTTATTTTGTTGTATTTCACGGACCGACACACAAAATATTGTCGGTTATAAACCAGTCCATGACACAAAAAAGGTTGGGGACCGCTGTTCTAGAGTATTCAGGTGTGTGTCAACTGTTGCAACCACAAGACCTGGGCACATTGCAGTCATTGAGTAAACCATGAGCGCCTCTGTTCTAAAGAGTCTAATGTGACATTATCTGTCTGACAGCTAAAGCATATCCAATATAGATCATGCAGTAAGACAGTGATCCCAAGCACAGCAGAAAATCTACAACAGAATGGCTGCAAATGCTGCAATGGCCCAGTGTCCTTGCTTAAATGATGTGGTGGGACCTTAAGAGAGCTGTGCATGAATGAATTCCTGCAAACCTCGATGAAGTGAAGCAAGAGTAAAGAAGAGCGGGACGAAATTTCTCCATGACAATGTTAGAGCTAGATAAAGTGACACAGGGAATGACTACTTAAAGTCATTGCTGCTTATGATGGTTTAATTATTAAGGTATTGAGTCATAGCTTGTACTTAGTTTTGTTATTCACTGCTTCTGCATTTTGGTTTAGTTTTTGTTAAATAAATAATAACATCCTGTATGAGACTTAGCTTGATCAGTTTTTTTACCTTATGAAGTGGCACATGAAAAAAAACCCACTTTGTATTAATAGTTTTTTTTTACTGTATTTGCCCACCGGGCAAGCGTTGTTTGACATGAGCAACCCACTTCGTGAACACCATAACACAAAACAAGGCGACATAGGATTGTCAAATAGATACCATAGGCGTCTCTATTAAAAATCTTGTTGTCTGATGTTCCACGCTTCACAAAACTGACTCTAATGGTGAATAGATTTATTTGTTTATTACAGTATTTGTTATTAATTACAAATGATGAGAGTCAATGTGCTTAAATAGACCTTTGACAAGTAACAGCCCATCAAGTATTACACTATTTGGTCCTGTATACTGTCAGGACAATGCAGGTAAGAATACACTGTGAGTATGAGAGCATTCATATATTAAGGCTGAATAAATTATTTTCACTTCTGGTGACACTGATGTTTCAAGGATGGCATGGAAGGCAGGGATTTTTTTTTTTGGGGGGGGGTGTTTTATGTGACTGTGAAGGTGTTTTCAGGCCTAGTACAATAACAGCATTTGATTCCTTATCAGGTTGAACAGATATTTTATGTTCCTGCATTCACTAATAAAACATGTCAGTTACAGTCAACAATGTGGTCTAAACACCTGTTGAAAGATATGAAATTAACAGTATAGTGAACTAGTAATTCTGTGTTCTACAGCTTGTACTTCCAGGGTATTTGTGACACCTAAAGATCTACTGCCAGGAGGCTGAGCGGTATCATGTGATTGATGCTGCAAGTCACTACAGTTTAAAGAGGATCACCTATTGTTAACTTTCTTTTTTTCTTCCTACCCTCAGCAACTTCATACGGTCGTGGGACCTACTTTGCTGTAAAAGCCAGCTACTCAGCCCACCCCACCTACTCCAAGCCAGCTGCTGATGGTTCTCAGTTAATGTTCGTCGCCCGAGTCCTCACAGGCGTCTACACTCTGGGCCAAAGTGATATGAAGGTGCCTCCACCTCGAGACCCCCAGCAGCCTCACGACCGCTATGACAGTGTGGTAGACAGAATAGATAACCCCAGCATGTATGTTGTGTTTCATGACAACCAAGCGTACCCTGACTACCTCATCACGTTCAAGTGAGAGTAAAGGAAAAGTTTTTTTCCACTGTTGACAAATGATGGTGTCTGAAAAATACAAAAAGAAAATTATAAAACTTATATATGTACATTTCACATTACAAACAATTATATTTAATGAAATTACGAGTTTATTTCTTAAGTATTGAATTCTGTCTGATTTTATGCTTAATTATTGACCTGCTACTGAAGTAGAAATATATGTACATAAACACTGGAAACATATTACGCAATCATGCCGTTTAAAATGTTTTATTTGGCAAAAATTTGCACCTTATATCTTCACTTTGCCAAGTGTAAAGCACTTTGAATCACACCTAATTAATCTGAGAACATGGCACATAACCCTAATAAAGATTTACTGTATGACTGTGTGGTCCATTCTTGAAAAAGGAAAAATTAGAGGACGTGGGTGATCAACATTTAAAAAGAAACTGTGATATTTAATTAAATTGTGATCAAATTAAGCAAACACATATGCAAACTTGTTCAGTTCATAATCAGGTAACTGCTGAACATAGCAAACCATCTGGTATAGTAGTTTAAAATGTTAACTGTGGTAAAATGAGTGTTAAACACATGAGTGATGAGATAATAGCTCCAAAGGATGATAATCTTTCTTGTCTGTGTCTTGAGATGTTTCTTTTGGAGTAATTCTCCCCCCTAGTGGCCAAAAAATTATCAAAAATTTATTTAAATGTGCTAATTTTAGAGCTAAAAATTATTCACTTTGTCAAAGGGTCAAAAAGATAGCTTTCCCATATATCAAAAAGGCAAGTCAACCTTCCTTGTGTTTTCATTTACTACAAAACTGAATCTATGTTTAAAATATAAGCCATCTAGCTACTAGCTATTCATTTTACTACTATCTGCAGCATTTGAAAAAAATATCACCAATGCTAAAGCTATATAGCTGAAAAACTGGAGTTGGATAATGACGATATAGGCCTCTATGTGGTAAAAGAATAACTGAAGAATGAACGGATAAATGAATATCCGTTTATTTAGCTTCATGTTCACGGATTCTCAGGGGTTGATGGTGACAGACGCCTGGCCGTGAACCTGCCGGAGAGCAGGACAGTCCAGAGTGGTGATCACCCTGCTTGTCCCGGTCCTCTGCAGAGTGAAATACTCAGTCCAGGTCAGAGAAGAGCCTCCTATGACCAACCTGAGAAAAGACAAACACGTCAAAAATATTAAAGCAAAAAGTGGGTTTTTTTCCTTTTGCTACTATTTAGAGGCTATAAAATTCACTTGTATTTTTATTTTTTATTCCTATTTATTCTATTTATCCCCTTTGTATATTTTATTTATATTTGTCTCTGTATTTATATATGTGTGTGTGTGTGTGTGTGTGTGTGTGTGTGTGTGTGTGTGTGTGTATATATATATATATAACAATTCTGTAACTGTAACTTCGGTCGTTGCTGTGCTTTTTTTGGAAGTCGAATTTCCCAGAGGAACCCACCCGAGGGATTAATAAAGTTTTATCTTATCTTATCTTATCTTATCTTATCTTAAAATCGTTAATCTGGAAAGATCCAAAGGAATAAGATGAAACTGAAACCAGTTTTTGGTTTTATGTGGAAATATTTTATACAAACAGTTGTTCATGATCACTCACCTGTAATACCTGGACTTTGGCTCCATCATCCCAGGTCCTTCCATGCGAATGTAGACGTTCTCCAAATTGAAGCTGAAGGGGTTTGTGAACTCCACAGTTGCTATCATCTCTTCACTCACTTTGCCTCTACCAGACACCTGAAGTACACACAGGACATGTAAAAATCCACCCCTAAAATCCAACTTTGATAAACAGGACATCAAACATGTAATGAAAGCAAAGCAAACCGTTTGCTCATAGGGGGCTGTCTGTTTTGTGTTGAACAACATTTTTGCTCTAATGATCTTATTATTATTATTATTATTATTATTATTATTATTATTATTATTATTATTATTATTGTTGTTGTTGTTGTTATTATTATCTTCTTATATAACTTACTATTAACTGAGCAGCCAATCAAATAGTCACTCTGTCAACTACACAACATTAACGGCACATAAATCCATCTTCAAACATCTCTGTGTTTAAATTCCTGAACTTAAATTTAAAGAAAACTGGCTGCTCATGACAGCACAAGTTTTACTTTGTGTAACTGCTTCTGCCACAGTGCAGTCTGGGTCCTTACTTAGCAGAGTGAGATGGAAATAGAAGAGGCGGATTTTCCCAGCCCTTGTAGGCGGGGCTGCTGAAGCACCTTTGAATGGGAAGGACATATTTAAAGAGGCACAGATCATTGCTGATGTTGAGACATACAATTTATGTGTGGTCACTTCTGGTCTTTTTCACAATTTACACCTAAAATATGAGCATTTCAACAATGTTATTCAAACCATATGTTGAAAAATTTGTTTATTTGTTCATGCATAATAAACTAAGCTTACTTCAATTGGACTCTAAAGTTTGGGTTCTGAACTTTAGATATTTTTAGATTACTACTTGAAACTACATGTGAGAATGTGGAAGATCAAGACAAAATCTGTAACTGATGACTTATGAGAGCACAAAAGTAACTGTAGTGTTTCACACTAAAGTGAAAGATGTTTAATTTCCTGAGCAGTGAATAATAAAGGATGTTGAGTTTGTTTAGTAGCTTCATGAAAATTTTAAACTGTTTCAAAATTTATTAAATCAATAACGCTTTTTTGCCCTGTGAATTTTTAGATACACTGTGTTTGCTCTTAAAATAAACTCTTTGAGACAGAAAAATGAAAGATACAGGTACAAAACCTGGGACTGATGTCCAGATTTTAAGATTCATTCCTCTGACACTCGTTGAGTCGGGGTTGGTGTGGTAAGGGTTATAAGGAAGGTTTTACACGGAGGGATTCCTGTATGTTCAGGGTGTGCCCGGCCTCTACAGACCTATGGTAGCTGGGATACGCTCCAGCTCCACTGCGTCCAGATAGGGATAAGCGCAAGAGGACGAATGGATGGATGGATGGGTTTATGTGAAATATATTTGTTGTTGTTTCAGATTTTCTCAAATGTTTCTATCGGATCAGATAAAACATAAAGTTCAAACCCTTATTTGCTGTCAGCATAATTACTGGTAAAATGTCTTTCTCAAAACCATATTAAGACATGAATATAATTTAGAGTTATACTCTGACAGCTGAAACACCTTTAAAGTACCTGCAGAGCAGGTGAGACGAGAAAAGCCCCTTAGAATTAAATGTGCACTTTTCCTACTGCTGTGTGGGAGTGTAAACACGAGGATGCGATTCTTGAAAACTGAAACTGAAACAAAAACGGGCCGTGACAGAGCGGCACAAACGAGTGTTTGACGGGTTGAAAGTTCTCGTGTTAGTGTAGAATTGCAGATAAAATGGATGAATATCAGTATCCACTGTTTTTTGAAGCCACTGACTTTACAGACAGAGAGAAGGAGAAAGTGAGGAGATACTTTCAGAAAAGGCGAGACTCCGGGGGTGGCGACTGCGGAAATCTTGAAAAACTCGGAGGAAGCGTTTATAAAATCTGTTTCAAGTTAAAAGAGGGTAGGACAGTCGATCATTTGTAAAATATTTTTTTTTTAGCTTTGTGTTTAAATTCAGGCTATTTCAGTGACTCTGTTTATGGATGTTTTCCAGATCAAGACAGAGTTTTGCAGAGGAAGTTTCACACCATCACTCTTCCGAGTGGAGAAGTGCGGCTGACCGTGAGCAGGACAAGTTCACCACAGACCTCTGACCAGCCATCGACAAGCCAATCACTGGTACAGTTTACTGCTCTTTCAAACATGACTTTTGGTTACAGTAAAAACTGAGTGCCAGAATAATGTGGCCAAATCAGTTTAAGAGGAGTGAGTTAGCCTCCAGGGGAAGTTGGACAGCTGAGGACAATATTGACAAAAAACAGATGATTATAAAATATTTCAAAGACACTGTAAGTACTGCAAAGAATACATTTTAAATAGTAAAACAGTGCTTTTTAAAAAAAAGATACACGATCATTAAATTTGACGTCAGGGACAAATATAGAGAACTATGTGTTTGCTCCACTTTTGCTGGGCCCTCTTTTTTATAGCTTTCATTTCATTGTGACTCAGTGTTTTCAGTGGCTGACAGTTCTCAGGTTTCTTTCACTTCTGAGTCTTGCTGTTAATACAGAGTGTAAATATACAGTCTAGTTCAGCATTTTTTAAATAAGAAAGCCTTCCCTGAAAAATACATCATGTGGATGGCACAGTGTGCAGATACAGATGCAAATACTTCACATACTATTTTGCATTAATGCCTTTGTAGACAAGGAAGCAATGCCATGTACAGGGAGTGCAGAATTATTAGGCAAGTTGTATTTTTGAGGAATAATTTTATTATTGAACAACAACCATGTTCTCAATGAACCCAAAAAACTCATTAATATCAAAGCTGAATGTTTGTGGAAGTAGTTTTTAGTTTGTTTTTAGTTTTAGCTATTTTAGGGGGATATCTGTGTGTGCAGGTGACTATTACTGTGCATAATTATTAGGCAACTTAACAAAAAACAAATATATACCCATTTCAATTATTTATTTTTACCAGTGAAACCAATATAACATCTCCACATTCACAAATATACATTTCTGACATTCAAAAACAAAACAAAAACAAATCAGCGACCAATATAGCCACCTTTCTTTGCAAGGACACTCAAAAGCCTGCCATCCATGGATTCTGTCAGTGTTTTGATCTGTTCACCATCAACATTGCGTGCAGCAGCAACCACAGCCTCCCAGACACTGTTCAGAGAGGTGTACTGTTTTCCCTCCTTGTAAATCTCACATTTGATGATGGACCACAGGTTCTCAATGGGGTTCAGATCAGGTGAACAAGGAGGCCATGTCATTAGTTTTTCTTCTTTTATACCCTTTCTTGCCAGCCACGCTGTGGAGTACTTGGACGCGTGTGATGGAGCATTGTCCTGCATGAAAATCATGTTTTTCTTGAAGGATGCAGACTTCTTCCTGTACCACTGCTTGAAGAAGGTGTCTTCCAGAAACTGGCAGTAGGACTGGGAGTTGAGCTTGACTCCATCCTCAACCCGAAAAGGCCCCACAAGCTCATCTTTGATGATACCAGCCCAAACCAGTACTCCACCTCCACCTTGCTGGCGTCTGAGTCGGACTGGAGCTCTCTGCCCTTTACCAATCCAGCCACGGGCCCATCCATCTGGCCCATCAAGACTCACTCTCATTTCATCAGTCCAAAAACCAGTCTTGAGATATTTCTTGGCCCAGTCTTGACGTTTCAGCTTGTGTGTCTTGTTCAGTGGTGGTCGTCTTTCAGCCTTTCTTACCTTGGCCATGTCTCTGAGTATTGCA